ACTCAATTATAAAACCAGACGAACTGATTGAACGAAAAGGTTTTTACTTGTGATAACTAGGCAACCAATACACAGTCCAGGTATAACAATCAGGTCGAATAGACAGTCCAAAGTCAGTGCCGGTAAACAGGTGTAGCCAGGGGATTCAAAACTCAAGAGGTCCAGGGGAAGCTCAGAAGGTCGGTACACTGCAGGCAATCAGACACTGGAAGGACATAGGCAATAAACGGTGGTCAAAACAAACAATCCAAGGTCAGAAACAGAGTCAGGCAAGGTATGAATGCTGGAGAGTCAGAGCTAGAGTCTAGAACAATCTGGCAGGGATAGGAGGGTGAAGGCTGCTTATATTACAGTGCGAACAGGTGCAAACTATCGGGAGCAGGTGAAACTAACGTAAGTGATTAGTGAACATAAAGTGACCGAAACAGAGGTGAAAAACAAAAACAGGAAGTAACGTAAAAATAAAAGCAGAAACAGAGTCAGGCAAGGTATGGATGCTGGAGAGTCAGAGCTAGAGTCTAGAACAATCTGGCAGGGATAGGAGGGTGAAGGCTGCTTATATTACGGTGCGAACAGGTGCAAACTATCGGGAGCAGGTGAAAGTAATGTAAGTGGCAGACTCACGACAACCGCCAGGCTGGTCCGGATGAGCCCTATGGAAGTCCCGAATAAGGGACGGATCCAAGATATGGCAGGAGGGTACCCAGGACCGTTCCGCGGGACCGTCCCCCTCCCAGTCCACCAGGTATTGGATCCCCCGACCACGCTTCCGTGACCGCAGGAGACGCCGGACCGTGTAGGCCGGACCCCCAGCAACGAAGCGAGCAGGAGGCGAAGGCACCGGAGGAGGAGCCAAGGAACTGGACCGAACAGGCTTGACCCGGGATATGTGAAACGTTGGGTGTACTCGAAGAGAGGGGGGCAGACGGAGGCAGACCGCTGCAGGGTTAATCACCTTGGAGATGGGGAATGGCCCTATGAACCTAGGGGCTAACTTGTGACATTCGGTTTTAAGGGGTAAGTCACGGACTGACAACCAGACCTTCTGGCCGGGCTGGTAGACAGGTGCTCGGGACCGGTGTAAGTTGGCCCATTTCTCGTATGCCTGGACTGAATGGAGCAAGACTAGGTGGGCTCTTCTCCAGGCTCGGTGACAGCGACCAAGGCAGATGCAGACGGCACCTGGACCTCTGGGTCCAAACTGGGAAATAAGGGGGGGGAGTATCCATACACACACTCAAAAGGGGACATACCAGTAGCGGCTGAAGGCAGAGAGTTGTGGGAATATTCCACCCAGGCCACGTTATCAGCCCATAGGTTTGGGTCCCGGTGGCACAAGAGACGCAGGCCAGTTTCCAGTTGTTGATTGAGCCTTTCAGTCTGCCCGTTGGTCTGCGGATGGGAACCTGAGGAGAGACTAACATAGATGCCCAGGAACAGACAAAACTCCGTCTAGAAACGGGCCACAAACTGGGGTCCCCTGTCTGACACCACATCCCTGGGGAGACCATGCAACCGGAACACATGTAGGATGAGGAGTTGGGCTGTGTCCTTAGCTGAGGGTAATTTAGGTAGTGGTACGAAGTGTACCATCTTAGAAAACCTGTCCACAATAGTGAGGATGGTAGTATTACCTCGTGATGTGGGAAGGCCGGTTACAAAATCCACAGAGAGGTGGGTCCAGGGTCTCATGGGAATGAGGAGAGGGCGTAACAGCCCTACCGGTTTACATGGGCATGCGGCCACGAACTCCCGGACATCGTTCTTTATGGTGGGCCACCAAAACCTCCTTTGCACGAGGTAACAGGTTCGTGCTACCCCAGGATGACAGGCGATCTTGGAGGCGTGACACCACTGCAACACCTTGGTGCACAAGACCACTGGAACGAACAGGCGGTTGGTCGGACAGGTCGAAGGACCTGGTTCTGACCCCTGGGCCTTGATGACGTCTTGCTTAATGCTAAAAAGAGCAGCGCCTACACGGGCAGACTGGGGCAGTATGTATACTGTTTCTGTGTCCTTGTCCTCCCGGTTATGCAGGCGGGAAAGGGCATCTGCCTTCCCATTATGGTGACCTGGGTGGAAAGAGAGAGAGAAATCAAACCGGTTAAAAAACAGAGCCCACCTAGCCTGCCTGGGGTTTAGCCGCTTGGCAGAGTGCAGATATTC